CCTTATAGTTGCCTTTGATTTCCCAGACGTTCAGTTTGATCTTACGGCCGACCAGTTTGAGGCTATCGGTGGGCGCCGGGCTATCGTTGGTCGTGTAGTCCATGTTATTGTTATCGTAATTCTTGTCGTAAGTCTTGTCATAATTCTTGTCTTCCGGATAACTGTTTGCCAAATGAATGCAAACCAAAAGTATAACAATAAGTGAAATGTTTTTCATTTTTTACTCAATTTTTGGTGAAACTAATGTCTAACTAATCAGAAATATTGTGCGATATTTGTTACAAAAACCGGTGTTTTTAAACAATTTTATATCTTATTATTATATTTATGATACAATAGGAATAATAATAAAATTCAAGGATTATTATTGAGGATTTTATTATTATATTTTAAAAAGTATTTTCCTATTATAATTTAGACAGTTATTTACTTTAAAATTCAATTCATATAAAAATTATTACAAAATTATTATTATATTATTTACTGGTACAGTATTATGATTATCAGTTAATGTTACATAACACCTATAATGAATACTATAATATATAGGTTATTAGAATATGATGTATTGCCCAGGTGAGCTAATGCAAATATGACTGTCAACTCATATAATTGTCATATTGACATTTAAGTCATAAGTAATTGTATTGATAATCTTATTATGAATTATTGAGTTCATAATTTTTAAGTACATTTAAATCAGCTAATAATTGGATAATTATTATAATATATATATATATAATTATTTAAATATGTATTAATAATATTTAATAATTATACACCTTTTGAATTAGCTTAGTGCTGTAGTAATAAATACTATAAAGTCTTATAGTTTTATAAAACTATTATAGTTTTACAAAGTAATTATTTTTTTACCACTAATATAAACACTAAACTACTGAAATAAATGATTGCAAATACCAATAATTAATAACTTTTTTGATTAAAATTAATTTTTATTATGTTTGTGAAAGGCATCTATGAAGAAAATACATGGGATTAACACTGCATTCAAAAGCAATGCATTCAACACTCCATGCTTTGAATGTGTGATAATTGTTGTGAATAACAATTATTGTTTGTAACTACAGTATGTTTGCTCAGAATAACTGAAAATTATTTTTTATTGAATTTAGTATTTTCATAGAGAATATACACTTATTGAAATAAATCACATGAGATATCATTCAACAAACAATACAATAAAAACTTATTTATGCATTAAATTTTAATTCAACATATTTATCATATTTTCAATAAATTCTTTATAATATTATACTCTACTGTAACTAAATTACAGTATAATAATGAAAATTAAAATTGTCCAATAGTTATACCTAACCGGCCAGGGATCTCGTAGTGATAGCCCTACTCCATGACCTCAGCGGTGCCCTCGTAATAATGACTGCCCTTTGCTGCCACTGATTACCCACTCGTACCCATTGGTAGACAACTCTTTGTCCATTAGTTACACCATAAGTTCCGCTAAGTCTTTGTCGATTAGCCAATAAATTAGTCGCTGTCAGAGTCGCTGAATTGGACACTGGATTAGACACCGGATTAGAGACCGGATTAGAGACTGGATTAGAGACCGCATTGGAGACTGTATTAGGGGCTGAAACTGAGGCCGAAGTGGGGGCTGAATTATAGACCGTATTTGTGTTTGAGGTCAGACCAGAAGTTGTATTGGATGTTGAATTAGACGTTAAAGGGACTAAAATATAGGAGAAATAAAGTTTAGATAAGTTTTGAAAAGTTTTTGTTGTTGTTTTACTGGATCTCCGTAGTCGTGATAAATGTCTCGTTTCAATCAAATAGCCGTTTGTCTTGATTATGAGCTTTTGGTGATTATTATGTTTATTAAGATTTGTTTGGATNATATTCTCTATGAAAATACTAAATTCAATAAAAAATAATTTTCAGTTATTCTGAGCAAACATACTGTAGTTACAAACAATAATTGTTATTCACAACAATTATCACACATTCAAAGCATGGAGTGTTGAATGCATTGCTTTTGAATGCAGTGTTAATCCCATGTATTTTCTTCATAGATGCCTTTCACAAACATAATAAAAATTAATTTTAATCAAAAAAGTTATTAATTATTGGTATTTGCAATCATTTATTTCAGTAGTTTAGTGTTTATATTAGTGGTAAAAAAATAATTACTTTGTAAAACTATAATAGTTTTATAAAACTATAAGACTTTATAGTATTTATTACTACAGCACTAAGCTAATTCAAAAGGTGTATAATTATTAAATATTATTAATACATATTTAAATAATTATATATATATATATTATAATAATTATCCAATTATTAGCTGATTTAAATGTACTTAAAAATTATGAACTCAATAATTCATAATAAGATTATCAATACAATTACTTATGACTTAAATGTCAATATGACTATTATATGAGTTGACAGTCATATTTGCATTAGCTCACCTGGGCAATACATCATATTCTAATAACCTATATATTATAGTATTCATTATAGGTGTTATGTAACATTAACTGATAATCATAATACTGTACCAGTAAATAATATAATAATAATTTTGTAATAATTTTTATATGAATTGAATTTTAAAGTAAATAACTGTCTAAATTATAATAGGAAAATACTTTTTAAAATATAATAATAAAATCCTCAATAATAATCCTTGAATTTTATTATTATTCCTATTGTATCATAAATATAATAATAAGATATAAAATTGTTTAAAAACACCGGTTTTTGTAACAAATATCGCACAATATTTCTGATTAGTTAGACATTAGTTTCACCAAAAATTGAGTAAAAAATGAAAAACATTTCACTTATTGTTATACTTTTGGTTTGCATTCATTTGGCAAACAGTTATCCGGAAGACAAGAATTATGACAAGACTTACGACAAGAATTACGATAACAATAACATGGACTACACGACCAACGATAGCCCGGCGCCCACCGATAGCCTCAAACTGGTCGGCCGTAAGATCAAACTGAACGTCTGGGAAATCAAAGGCAACTATAAGGGAAATGGAGACAATTTGTTGGAGAAACTGAGCCAAAAGCTGGGTCTCAACCGTTTCAAAAGGAGTCCACAAAATGGAAACTCAGGCATAATTGACAATTCATTTCAATTTTTGAATTCATTTAATAAAAACTTTTGTCTTTTGATAGGAGGGGGAGACAACTCAATGCTGGGAACCGCACAAAAGGTATTTGATCAGGCTAAGTCCCGGGTAAAAATGGCAAGTGACATGGCTAATACTGCTGTTAAATCCATGTCCGATAGGGTTAGAAATACCATTTCCGGTTAGTCAACTTGTGGATGTACTTGTGGATTATTGGCAATTGAGTTATTTTGTAATCATTATGTTAATAAAATATTTTGAAATGAATTAATTTGTATCAAGCTTTGAGCTTATAACATTATTTATATTACTGTTATTTGAAAAATCAAAACAATTTTTGTTTTAAAATATTAATTTTAAATTAAATTAAAGTTATTTTGTATATGAATGAAAAGATTATTATATTAGGTTTATTTTTAAAAATTATAAAATGTTTTAATTTTAACAAAATTTATAAATAAATATAAAATCTCAATTAAAATGATAAAGATACACATTGTATTGATAATGAGATACAATATAAATAAGCCATAATATTGATTCAAACTAATTTGACTGTATGCATACTTATTTGATAAACTCATGAACTTTGTATTACCATTAATTATCTTACTGTTCAACCTTAGCTTGATCAATTCATTGTAAATACCACTTTCATTTAATATTGATATTCTGTTCACAAAATAAAATAAAATTAATAATACTAGGTACTAATTAATTTCTAAAATTTATACAAACATTGTATTAAGTCTATCCCCATAAGTATTGTTCATATTCGCGGGATTAGTCATTAAGAAATAGGGTTGAGCTCCCGATCCCTGTGTGGATATGTGAAAATCAATGTCCTCTTTCATGCCATACCTAATCAAGTGATGTTTAGCCAACTCTAAGAATACATGATTTTGAACCAGGACTCTTTTACCATCAATTATACGCTTAAAGTCAATATCTTTATCAATGTTTTTCTTTCCTATCATGAAGTCAAATATGTTTAATGTGTCCACAAATCTGGCGGCAAAATCCCGGGCCATCGCGTTATCAGTACTCCGGACATAGTTATCCATATGTAAGTTGG